ACTTTGCTGCTCCTGCTATCCAGAGGTATATTTCTTTACATCCTTAAACCTGGATTGGCTTAAGTAACTGTAGATTCAGGCCTGGTGAGTGAGATATTTACTTTCGAATGAAGACCGGCTTAAGACGAGGCTCCATCTCATCTTCACTATCTGTGTACTCTTCATACTCAGACTCTGATTCTGACTCCTCCCCAGAACGTCCTTCATCTTCCACCTCCATGACTTCCATCTCTTCATTTTTTCTCTCCTGTGCTCGCTGACGCATCATGCCACGGCGCCGCTCTATTTCCTATCAAGTCATACATCTAAGCCAGTCAGTCAAATGGCCTATGAGCTATGAGGACTTTTCATTTTTTTCCCCTCCACAAGCTCAACAAATACTGATAGGAGTAAATGCAACTTAGCACCATTCTATTTTCAATCCTATCCCCAACAAACAGGGAACATGATCACAGTTCTGCCAATAGTAGCAATCTGGTGCCTCTAGGGACTCAACAAGTGAGCACCAGCGCCAATTTTTTTTTTATACACACACAAAAAAACCCCATTTTCATTTTTCATACCTCATCATCAATTTCTTCCTCTTCTTCTTCACTGCTATCTTCTCGTTCCATGCGCCAAGCATCTCCTTCTACTTCTGAGTCACTTTCTCCTACTACTTCAGGTTCCACTATTTTCCGATGTCGAGCCAATCTGAAAAACAGTATCTCCAAGTATAACCCCAATGTCACAAAAATGAGGAAGCATCAGCCATATTTCCCTAGTCACAGAGCACCCTGAAATTATGTTTACCTTCATTAATATTGAAGTCTTCAGATGGGAGAACTGAGGTGCAGATTAAAGAAATTAAACCAGAGTGTCAGCAAATAGTCAAATTGGGCCTAAAACATTAAACATATGTTGAGGCATCCTGGGGCATTACAGCAAACTCACAAGAGATAACTGGTAACAGTGAGGTGCACTGGGATATTTTTAATAGCTCAAGGGAGTTCAGTTTAACATTAGATCATACTTCATTCCTTTCAAAGACATCATATCTTTGTGAAGCTGGGTTTTTTGTGGCTGCTGTGATAAAAAAACAAACAAGTATAGCAGGATAATCAATATGGAACAGGAAAGGAGAGAGTGACAGTGCCAACTGATTCCAAGGTCCGTGAAGTTGTCAGTGTCCAGCAGGTACACAAATCCCACTGGTAAGAAATTGTGATTACGGAAGAATGAAATAAAAATGTTTTTTCTTTCCTGGGCATTATATTTTTCTTTTTTATTTTTTGGGTGGTTGGCCTGTACAGGGATCCAAACCCTTGACCTTGGCATTACAACACTGTACTCTACTGACCGAGCTAACTGGCCAGCCCTTGGGCA